GGTATAGTATTGTGCAATTAATGAACCCCTACAGACCCTTTACCTAGATTCACATACTGTGCATATTTTGCCATGTTTGTTTTTGTTTTCTCACTCTCTGTGTGATGTGTATACACACACACATTTGTATATGTATACACATGTACATATATGTATGTGTACATACAAACATATTTATTTATTTACACATTTTTATTGCTGAACCATTTGAAAGTAGGTTGCAGACATTATATCTCACCTCTAAATATATCAGCATACAACTCCTAAAAATAAAAATATTCTATTATTTTGTAACCGATTTTTACTTTTTTGTACAGGACCATGAAGGTTTATGTACAAGATTACATCTCTTTAGTTTCCTTTAATCTGCACTAGTTCTCTCTTTTTGTTTTTCATGATATCAAATATTTTTGGAAGAATCCCAACCAGTTGTCTTGTAGAATGTCCCACATTCTGGGTTTTTCTGATTGTTTCCTCATAATTGGATTCAAACATTTTGGCAAGAATACTCGATTTGTGTGGTGCACGCCGTGGGCCTCTCATGCTGTTGTGGTGCTAACTTTGGTCTCTTGATTAAGGGCGTCCCTCAGATCTCTCCTCTGTAAAGGTACATTTCCCACTTGTCAATTAGTAAATAATTGGTGAGATAATACTTTGAGACAGTATCGTATTCTGTTTCCTAACAACATTTCAACTGATGGATTTAGCATCCACTGATGATTCGCGTAGCTATTCGCGTACAAGTGATCACACGGGAATTGTCATATGCAGCTTTTATAATTCTATCATTTATCTGCATTTATAAATTATCATCTTATGCACAGAAGAACTTCCATTTCCCATTTCTTTGTCCTTTGCCTCTCTCTTTCTATATTATTGTGGACTCATAGATTTTCTAATTTAATGTGCTATAATCCATAATTACTATTATTCTTTTAGATATTCAGATGGTACAAATTTGGATGGTGGGAACATCCCTTTCAGTCAACTCCTGTGCCCTTTGACATACCCTATCATTCTTGGAATATTTCCTTGCTTTCTGGCACAAGGTGTCCCAGGCTCACTTTGAGCTTACCCTGCACTAGACCTGAAATAAGCTGGTTTTCTAACAAGTCATGTAATTGGTTTTTGAGCAAGGAAGTGATATGACCGAAATGTGCTTTTGGAAGATTGCTCTGGCAGTGGTAGTGAGTAGTAGACCTGAAATAAGCTGGTTTTCTAACAAGTCATGTAATTGGTTTTTGAGCAAGGAAGTGACATGACCGAAATGTGCTTTTGGAAGATTGCTCTGGCAGTGGTAGTGAGTAGCTGGAAGTGTGAGAACCCAAATATAAGGATTCCATGTGAAGACAACTTCCAAGTTGAGGAGACAACGACCTAACGCTGGGGGAAAACACATTACGGAAGAAATGAGTAGCTGGAGAAAAACTGAAAAAAATTCCTGAGTTGGGGCATGGGGAAAAGGAGACAGAAATAGGGATGTCAGCAGGGATAGTTCGGCTTAAGAGAAAAATTAATTTAGTCTTATAAACGGTGATGTCAAGGTGAGAGTAGTCAGTGGCCAGTTGATGATAAATCCAAAAGTTGAAGCCAGAAAAATCAAGAACAAGAAACCTGTGATTTTAGGAATAAAAATGATCTCAAATTATATTTCTTTATTTAAAATGATTTCACTGATTATAACATTCATATATCCTCATCATGGAAAACTAAAGAAAAAATTTAAGAACGCAATTTAAGAAAGAAATAATTCTGCTTTTTAAATTTAGTATCTATTATTTTATTGGCATCTTCACATATGATTAAATGCTCTTTGAAATTATATTTCTCATATTGATTTTAATAAAGTTTTGAGATAAATAGAGCTACTTTTTTTTAAATGGTAAACTACTGTTAGTTATACTTCATGAAGAAAATTTGCCTATTCACTAATACCATCTTCACAAAAGGAAGAAGGATGTTTTGCAAAGATAGAGATATTTGTTTATCAAATGTATCCTAAGCAGTTCATGGGAAGGTCAGTGAAAAATTTCTTCATTTGAGGAAACTGGCAACCACAGCATACGTATGCACACACACACATTACTATCCAATGAGTAGACAGCACAGTCAAGGGAAGCCTCCAAACAAAGCAGGAATAAGAATCTCTCTGAGCCATAGCTTCATTTTCTGTAAATTGTAGATAATGTAGATGATAATAGCACATATGTAACAGAGCTGTTCCAAAAACTAAAGTATAATAAAAATATTAGCTATTATCCCAAGTGCCCTTATTTGACCAATATTTGCTTTCCGGGGATAATTGTCCAAAGTATTTTGATAGAAGACCAGACTTGATGGAGGGATGGATATTATCTTAGTCTATTCCTGCTGGTATAACAAAAATACCTTAGACTGGGTAATTTACAAACAACTGAATTTTCTTGCTAACAGTTCTGGAGGCTGGAAAGTCCAAAATCAAGATGTCAGCAGGTTCAATGTCTGGTGAGGGCCCATTCCTCATAGATGGCACTTTCTATGTGTTCTCACAGGGCATTAATTCCATTCAAGAAAGAAGAGATCTCATGACCTAATCACTTCTCAAAAGGCCCATCTCAATACCATCACAATAGGGATTAGATTTCAACATGAATTTTGGAGGGATACATTCAGACCATAGCTGATAGCAACCAAGAAGTGAATCATGGATAACCTCAGTTTTCATTCTGGAGCTTCAGAAGTTAAAAACTGGTGCTATGTTTTATACCTGAGAAGTTTACATAAAAATCTGCATTTCTACTTTCTTTTCCTTTATTTTGGCAGCTGGCCAGTAAGGGGATCTGAACCCTTGACCTTAGTGTTATAACTCGGCGCTCTAACCACCTGGCGCATTTCTACTTTCTACTAAAAACTGAGAATTATTGCCCAATTTCATCATGGCAATATTTGGCTGGACCTGTGTAGCAACTCTCTTTCCTCAAGTGGAAATTTTGCTTTAATGTCTACGGGGCTTACTTCTTTCATTTACATCACATATTTGGCTTTGGGAGTACATGCGTTGGGACCTCTATTCTAGAGCCTGCCATGAAAAAGCCAAACAGGAAATCCAGCGAATCCTCTCTCCCTTCTTCCCTCTCTCCCTTCATCCTGCTCTTCCCAATAAAATGTCAATAATCTTGGGCCGGCCCGGTGGCGCACTGCTACAGTGCGCCGCTTGCGAGTGCGGAGGCGCTCCAGCCGAGGGTTCGGATCCCACATACAGACCGGTTCCCGCTCACTGGCTGAGCGAGGTGTGGGAGCAACACCAAGGGTTGCGATCCCGTTGCCAGTCCCGGTCCGGTACGGGCGCGACACTGAGGGTTGCGATCCGTTGCCGGACACGAAAAAAAGACAGAAAGGAAAAAAAAAAAAAAATGTCAATAATCTCATTCAATGCTGATTGTAAGACCCTGTTCAAACCATTCCTAGCACCCATTGGTGTTGTAAATACTAATAGTGAGTTAAGGCAAATTGAACACATTGATTTCTGTTATATACCTAATGGCACATATATTTGTTTTCTGGAAATTCTCTGAGTATCGTAGCTTAAACATCTACCTGAATCCATTGCTTAACATAGGCAATTTTGAAAACTTTTCCGTAATTATAACACAAGTAGCTACTGGGGGATGTCTGAGTCAATTGGTTAAGAACACACACACACACACACACACACACACGAGGAGTGTATTTCAGTTTTTTAGTTCTCCACCAGGGACATGGTGCTAAATTAAGCAAATAATCTAATTTTCTAAGGGCATCAAAGAGAGTTGGCCATACCATCTTGGCTACATGTTAAAATCTCCTGGGGAGATTAAAAACAAAACAAAAAAAAATCCCTGCCCAGTTTGCACCAACTAAATCAGGGACTCCAGGGGTGGAATTCAGGCATTAGGATTGTCCTAAGTTCCCAGGTGATTGCAATGTGCAGCTAACACATGTAACCACTGCTGCAAAGAATGCCGACCAGACTTCGTGGTCAAGCTCCTCCCAGTTAATAAATCAAACGTTCTCTCTGAGCCACGGGTGCCTCATCTAGGAGAAGGATACTGGTGAAAATGCAAGAACACAGGCTTAGAAAATGTTGTTGTATTATTCTCCTTTGTTCTATTTTAATTATTATTAAAGTTCCAATTTTTAAAAAATGTATACACATACACCCAACAATATGGATGAATCTAAAAATCATTATGTTAAGTAAAAGAAGGCAGAAAAAAAGACAAATACTGTATGATTCCAGTTATATAAAATACAAACTAATCCATAATGACAAAAAACAGACAAAAGGTTAATCTGTTGCAAGTGATGAAAATATTCTGTCTTGATGGTGATGGTGGTTTCGTAGGTGTATTCAACTGTAAAAACTCATGGAATTGTATACTTTTAATGAATGTCATTTATTGTATGTAAATTAGTCCTCCATAAAGTTGATAAGGGAAAAAATAGACTCCTGGAAACCCAGTTAGGAAAATATAGTAATTATTTCCTAATTTTATGTATCTTTAAATCCTGAATTTCTGGAAGAGCATCTTCAGAACAAAAGCAAAGACCTCAAGCGGAAGGGAAAGTGAACTTTGGAGCAAACTCTGGTATCTGATCTGATAGGATATTGAGAGGTCACAATAGTGCCAATATTTTCATGTTTCTGCATGACAGACAAGAAAGCTGGAGCCCACTCAACCCTCCTCAAGAAACCGTGGCTCTTACCATATACTTTTTGCTGCAGTTTTCACTCTGGGAACATTTACAGCTGTTATCATTCTCCAGGACAAGAAGAACTGCTGCTACGATAAGCATCTACGGGGAAGAGACACAGCATCAGAAACGGGACACTGGTTACATCAGAGGACACTGACTCCAAGCATCCGTCCTGGAGTCAGGTGGGCCTGGGTTTGAATCCCAACTCTGCCCCTTTCTAGCTGTGTGAACTGGAGAGTCCTTCCCTCATAAAATGGTGTTGAGAACTCACCTCATCGGGTTGTTGTGAGGTAATTTACATAAAATTTGGTGCATAGTACTTGATTCATAATAACTGATTGATAAATGTTAGCCATTATTATCATGGTTAGCAATTACCGTAAGCTGATGATTAAGGAGGAGTAAGTGGTATAGACGTGGGAATACCACCCTGGGCAGCAGAACCCACATTTCTCCCTGACTCAGTTGTGGAGCACAAGGGAAAGCACTCACCAGAGCTTGGGACTTGCCAGCTTTCTCCACTTCTGCCCTCTGGGAATGGAGGTGAGAGGCAGGGTAAATTTGAAATTACATCTCTTTAAAGTAGCTTCAATTCCCCCTGTATTCAGACCGTCTTAGGTTCAAATTTTCCAGTGTATTTTGTCTGCATGAGAGTACTTCACAATGTTTATGGAAAGATTCATCTTATCTTTTAATTCCATCTTTCCATGAACTTTTTGAAGTACCCTTGAACCAAGCCAACACACTGGGGGGGTGCTGACAGCACCAAGCCAAGGGTTGAGATCCCCTTACCGGTCATCTTTTAAAAAAAAACAACCAAAGGAAAACTGCTTTCTGACATAGCTATTTATGTTTAATGTTTATTAAACACCCACAAAGATGTAGACATAGATTATAAGGAATTTCCTTCTATATTGTCGATCATCTAGTAAGCTTACAGTGCACAGTGCATTGTTTTTAGAAATGATATGATCAGGAAAAGTAAGTGTCTTTTCCTCTGAGTTGCCAACATGATTTACTATCAGCCTGTTTCTTTTTAAAGAACACAAAGTTATCAGGAAAAACATTCCTGGATTCTTACCATTGATAATTTGATTTAGTTTTCAAAAACACCCTACATTATTAGGGGTATAATGTAGGAGGCCTGTTTCTTTTTAAAGAACACAAAGTTATCAGGAAAAACATTCCTGGATTCTTACCATTGGTAATTTGATTTAGTTTTCAAAAACACCCTACATTACTAGGGGTATAATGTAGGACTATTTAATGAAGGCCTAGCCCATTATTTAATGAGTATTTATAATCACAAGTCACTGGCTGCTTATCACATGTCAGTCTCTGTCCTGGGCATTTTATATACGTGATTTTACTCTGAAAAGTAAATGTCATTATTTACATTTTCAAATGAGGACACTAAGGCTCATACACATTGAATAATTTGTGAAAGGTCTCATGGCACAAATGACAGAGCTTAGATATGAAAGCAGGTTTGTCTGAATCTGCTTTTTCCATGCTGTCCTAATGCCCCTCCCAAGCTAGAGAGATCATGAGTGCAGACAGAAAATCTGTTCTGGAAAAGAGTAATGCCACTGGGGATCAAATAGCTTAAATCGATACACAGAATTCATGAGGACATAATATTTTTACAGGCCAGTGTCCCACAAACTTTCATTAGGACTAATTTCCTGCATTGCTGCGGCTATACTGCTGAGCAGCTTATGAAAAACAAAGCTATGCCCCAATTCTTAACTACCTGCCCGTCTGCCCCCACCCGTCTTCCAAATCCTAAACCCAAGATTAGTAGAATGATTTTTTCATTATTCATTACTTTTCCAAGGTACAAGCCAATATTTAATAACAACTCCCTCTTCGGAGATCCCAAGTCTCCAAAGTCACACTTACCATGACACCTGAGAAACAGATTCCTTCAAAATACAACACGTAGTTGGTGAGTTTACTGCTGGATGCATAGGAAGTTTGCCCGTTTGGGAAATACAATAATATATTCACAATGATACTCCAAAGTGCAAGTGGAATCAGCAGACGACTCAGGCAGCCTCCACACTTCCGAGACCCCATTTTACCCTGCTTAGAACCTGCAGGAGATTTCAAGAGCACAGAATCATATAAAGCCTATTTTTCTTCCTACCTGTTCCCCACCCTCCTTTTTTTTTTTCTTTTTTCTTTTTTCTTTTGAGATTACCTACCACTTTCTGGGTCAGAGCCCTTCACTTCATATTCATGAGGATCCAGGGATGTGGACTATAACTGCAGCCGACAATCTCAGTGTGAAATAGTGGTTTACTGTTTGCAGAACAATAGACAATGATCACCGCTGAAGAGCTGAGCTGGTCTTCATCCTGTGCCAAAGGAATGTGGTGTTTTCACCGCTTTTTAAAATAAGTCATTTTCCTCTGGATTAAAGCACTAAGGACTTAACCCTGAGCCTATTTTAAAAAGGAAGTTGGGGTGGGGGCTGGAATTAAGTCTGGCACATTTCATCCAACTGTAGACAGAGGGTTGAAGAGAAAACTACCAAAGAAGCTTATGCATGATATGTTTGTTAAAATATCCTGACTTTATACCCTCTTTATATATCTATCTTTCACTCGATGTTCTTTATCGTGTGCTTAGTATTCACCAACCATTGTTCAAACTGCAAGGAGTACAAAAAAGGACTAAGAAAGGGACTGATGGGTGAGAAAAAAAAAGACAGCTGGTAAGTTTATTGTTTCAAGATCAGCAGAGCTTTCCTTCCAAGGGTTCACATCTGTTATCTCCACCTCCCTGGAAAATACTAACAGGCGTAAATGAATATCTTTCTTACTGTTAAGGAAAAGGAGGTAAAAGAAGATGGGTATTTCAATTAAGACTTTATGAGTAATAAGTTTGAAAAAAAGATTTAAGAATTCTCCCTCGCAAATTATTGCCTTAAATTTAAGAGCCACAGATCTCTAATTATGATGACATGAGGAAAGGATTATGGAAAGGAGTCTTGGTATAATATGTTAAAGACAAGTAGACAGCAGTGGTAAAGGGTTCCAGGATTGTTCCATCAGTTTCCACCCTTTTCTGCTGGTATCCCTAGCACTCTGCTTGACTTAACTTTTGTAAGTCTCAACTTCGTCAACTGTGAAATGAAGATAAAAAGCAATGCCTTCCCCAGAGAGATGATGTGAGGATTAAACGAGATTACGTGTGCAAAACACAGTGCCAGGCGCATTTTGAGAGTGAGCAGTAATAAAAAGGCAGATTTAGGAACATAATTGGCAAAATAGTACAGAGATCAGAAGTAAAGTCTGCATATTTACTCCTCCCTGCACCCAAAGAATTCTGTGTCATAAAGTCCTGAAACTTGATCCCACAAGTATTTGTATTTAATATGTTATTATATCATCCAGAAGCTGTTAATACTATAAACATATACACTTTTAATTCAGGAGAATAAAAATTTGTTCTATGAATAATTTTTAAAATATACTATAATTATACTTTTTAAAAGAAAATTCAGATACTTGAAGCCACTTTTGGATTCAAACAAAACAAACCTCAAATTTGGCAGTCTTAAACTATGGTAAGTTCCAAAGAAGTTTTTTGGCACCCCCTGGTGGATATGATTTTTTTTTTCCTTTAGTGTTTTTAATGTAAGTGCATCAACAAAATCTGGGCATTAGATATTTTTCCCCGTAACAGAGAAGCAACCTAAAATCATATTTACTAGAGTTCTTGGGATGATTGGGAAGAGACACATTTTTGGCTGGATATTTATTGAGCACCTTCTATGTGCCAGGTGCTGTGTAAGAGTGTGGAAAAGATCAGTGAACAAGATAGTCCAAATCCCTGCCCTCATGTAGCTTGCATTCTACTGTAGGGGAGACTAACAGTAAAATAAATATATGTGAGTGTGTGTATAACATACAGCAGCATATCAGGTGATGATAAGTGTGAGTAGAATAAATCAGGGAAGGGCAACTAGGGGTACCAGAGGATAAGGGTCGGGATGTGATTTCAAAAAGGGTGGTCAGGGAAGACCTTAATGAAAAGGTGACATTTGATCAAAGACCTAACGGAGGTGGAGGGTGTGAGCCATGCAGAGAACTTGGGGACAAGCATTTCAGGCCGAGAAAACAGCAAGTGTGCAAAAGCCCTGAGGCAGGAGTGAGCCATAGCAATGAGACCGCTGTGGCTGGAGCCAGCTGAGGCAGAAGAGCAGTAACAATGAAGGCTGATTTTGAGCATAAATATGACTTGATGCTTTAAAAGTCTCACTCTGGCTGTTGTGTTGTGAACAGGTGGTTGTGAAAGGGTGTGGGTGAAAGAAAAGAGATGAGCTATGAAGCCATTTCAACAATCCAGGTAAGAGAGGATAGTGATTCAGTCCATGATGGTAGCGGCAAGGGTGGTGAGAAGCAGCTGGACTCTGGATATATTTGGAAGGTAGAGCCAACAGGATTTGGTGACAGATCGGATGCAGGCGTAAGATAAAGAGAGGAGTCAAGGATGACTACGTGGTTTGGGGCCTGAGCACGTGGAAGAATAGAGTTGTCACTAACTAAAATAAGAAGGCAGTAGGGTGAGCAGGTTTGGGAGGGGGAAGATGATGTGGGCAGTTTCGGCCACGCTCAGTTTTGAGACCCTACTAGAAATCTGTGTGGAGATGCCAGTCAGGCTGCTGGATATACAAATACGAAGTTCAGGGAGATCTGAGGTGAAGTGTGTGATAGGCATCAGCATAGGAAGGGTGTTTAGAGCCACGAGACACTAAGGAAATGAGCATTGGAAGAAAAGAGGCCCCAGGACTAAATCCTGGGCAGTCCAGAACTGAGTTTGGGGACGTGAGACAAAGCCAGCGAAGGAGACGGAGAAGTGGCCAGTGAGTCAGAAGAAAAACCAGGAGCTTATTCTCACGTTTCTAGGAAGAAGGAGTGATCGATCACGTGAGTTAAATGCTGGGCGAGTAACATGGGAGGATTGAGAATCAGCTACTGGATTTAGCCATATGGAGGTCACTGGTGGCCTTGATAAGAGAAGCTTTCACGGTGGGCTAGAGATGAGAGTCCCGCTGGAGTGAGTGCATGAGAGTGGAGGCAGAGCAATTGGAAATAGAAGAGGTAAGTCTTCTGGAAACTTTTTCTGTAAAGGAAAGCAAAGAAACGGGGTGTAGCTGGAAGGAAGGGGGGAGTCAAGGGAAAAAAATTAACAGGGAAAATGACAGCACGTTTGTATACTGTCGTGGTGACGGGAGGGGAGGTGGCGATTGACAACGCAGGGGAGAGGGGAGGGGGCGAGCGGTGCCCTCTGTGAGCGAGAAGCTGGGTGGGCACAGATGGGGCAGGGCACCTCGCCCTCGCCACCGCCACCCTGCGCAGGCCAGTGGAGCACGTGGGCCCGCCGTGGTTGTGGGAACCTCTGCTTGCTTCTGATTTCTCGGAGAAATAGGAAGCACGTGTATCAGTTGAGATGAGAATGGGAGGAGAGTGTTGAAGGTTTAGAGAGAAGAGAAGCTCAAACAGTTGCCCTGAAAGTGGGAGAGTGTCCCGACTAGGGAAATGTGGCAGGTGGTGAGAAACCGCCGGAGGTGACGATCGTGAATTGATGGCGAGACCAGCAAGACCGGGCAGCGGCTCATGTGTTTCCTTGGGGAGCTCAGCTGCAGAGGTCTGAAAGAGAGCAGAAAGAAGGCCGGAATCAACCAGGTTGGGGACTTTGCCAGGCAACTATCATGAAGAGAGAACGGAGCAAAGGATTCAAGAATGTGTGCAAGAGTGTGAGGACAGCCCAGAGGTCTGAAAGAGAGCAGAAAGAAGGCCGGAATCAACCAGGTTGGGGACTTTGCCAGGCAAGTACCATGAAGAGAGAATGGAGCAAAGGATTCAAGAATGTGTGCAAGAGTGTGAGGACAGCCCATGGAACAAGCTGGGTGAGGAGGGAGGCAGGACATGAGGGGGTGAGGCACAGTGACAAAGGGGCTGGGTTTGTAGACTGTGTGTTCCAGTGTGGTTGAAGGTTTATTGGTTTGGGGTAGCAGAGAGAGAGAGAGATGGGAAAGTAGGAGGTAGTGATGGAGAAATGAGATGCTGGAATTCAGAATTGTAAAGATGTTTCAAGGATTGGTGAATGCAAGGTCTACAGGTATGTTATGGGCTGAATTGTGTCCCCCACACACACCCCCAAATCCATATGTTGAAGCCCTAACCTCCATGAAACTCAACTGTGACTAAATTTGGAGGCAGGGCTCTTAAGGAAGTGACAAAGTTAAAATGAGGTCGATGGGTGCACCCTAACCCAGTCTGACTGGTCCTGGTAAGAAGAGGACATGTGAACACACAGAGAGATATCGGGGGCCCCATGTGAAGAGAAAAGACCACGTGAGGACACAGAGAGAGGGTGGCCACCTGCAAGCCAAGGAGAGAGGCCTCAGGAGAAACAAAGCAAATCTCCCAACACCCTGATCTTGGACTTCTGGCCTTCAGAACTATAAGAAAATAAACGTCTGCTGTCTCAGCCAGCCTGTGGTCTTCCGTCATGGTGGTCCCAGCAAACTGATACAAGAGGTGACCCTGGGAGTGAGTGGCCCAGCTGGGGTAGAGGACAAGATGCTTGGAAGAAATGAACTGAGAGGGCTGGGTATTGGAATGACCACTTACAATGAATATTACAATCAACAATTAAGACAATGGCAATTTTGGACAAAAATGACTACACTTAGAAAACTAGTTGCTAAATACTTTAAGGAATAAGAGGAACTAAGCTTGAGGGAGAGTGGACTGAGGGTGGAAAATGACAGAAATATCCAGCATTGAAATTTACAATTTCTTCAGCCAAGAGTCACCACTCCCCCTCCCATTGGCTTTTGAACAGTGAAGTTTAAAAAATTGAAAATGTTTGATTTGGCTTTCAGTTTTCCTAACCTTGAAGCCACTCTCGTGGACGTTCTAACAGGCACTGAAATGAGGACTGGGAGAGGAGGGAGGGGTAGAACAGGAGAGTCACTGAAGAGGGTCATCGGCTCCCAAAAAACCCAGAAGCAACCTGCGTATTACCAGATGTGTTTGCAAGGTTCTAAGAAGATTTAACTCAGTTGAGATTTCACAAAAAGTTTTTTATTGCCAATATTTTGTACTTTGAAGAGGAGTGACTAAGAATACATTTTGTTAATATTTCCGGAGAGTGGAATCATTGAGTATTTTCAACCTCGTAAAAATGCTGTGGCTTCCAGTAATTTGCAGTGTCAGTGAAGTAAGCCGTCACTTTCAGTCAGAGCCTCCTGCAAAATAATCATGATAAACTGATGTCTGTTGAGTATCTTCTATGTGCCGGACCTT